GTCCTCTCTCTCCTCTGGCTCAGAAAGTTGATCATTCCAGGTTTACAGCAGCGTGTGAGTTCATAAACTGGACTTCAAATTCCAATGAATTGATCATTCATTGCTGTTTGTAACCTTTATGTTTTAGCCCAATTGGATGAAATACTAACTCCCTCACACACAGTCACATGAGGTCACATTGGAAAGTACATGCGAGACAGAGACAGCTGACTGAATTCCTTGCGTCAGAACTGATCCAAATTAGAAAATGAAGACCTTATTAAGGAATGTATCACACACTTATTCTTTTTGAAAGGATTAAAACATTTTTTTGAAAGGCCTTTTTTCAGCGCAGTCTCGTGAAAGCAATTTGAAACTGGCCATTTGCATTTTAGTGAGATGCTGAATACATTTCTTGCTGGGTAAAAACCCATTCCTCAAATCCTCCAGCCACGCAGAAGTTCCAGACTATGCAAATCCTTTAGCAACAAAGTTGATTGCCCCGTAGTCTAATGTGTCACTTTCATTAACATTAACATCAGAACTCCAGCTGATCTGTGGGAAGAATGCGAGTGGGACCAAATCCCTGATGGTCTACATTACATATGTCCAAATTACTGTAAGAAAAAAAAATCTAAATTAGACCCAATTCCAGGAACTCAAGGTTTGATATTACCTCCTATTCTCTCTCACTCTTTTCTCTTACTTCCTCTCTTCCCCTCCTCCGTTAGCCATTACACTCACTCTGCCCAGGATCAGAAGTTCAAGCTAATGACCAAGCGTTCCTTGGTCAATCTGCTGTGAAGCCATGTGCATCCCATCTCACCAGCCAACCAGAAAGACAGGAGGCCAGGGCCAGAGACTGTGGCCGGGTCACAGCTACCAAAAGTCAAAGTCCGTTCACTTGTCTGACATTCACCAGTTTTTACTAAATGAACCACTTGTGAAGGTTAAACACTAGCTCACCTGGCCTCTGGTCAGGACGTTTGAGTTTCTTGCCCCCTGGCTGGAAAGAGATTTCATAACATCCTGTGCTGCACAGACCTGTTGGCACTGAGCAGGGTCACTCACAATTAAATCCACCAGCATATCTGCAATATTTTGAAATACTGCAGGCAATTCTGTATTTTGTTTTCAGTATTGCAGGTGGCGTCAGGCAAGAGTGCTACCAACTAAGCCCTAAATTAGTACAGGAATATTTAAGGGATTGAGTTCCAGGTAATGGCTGGAGCTCTTTGAGTGTTTGCTAATGGGAAATCCCACTGTAAAGACGTAACGATAAACAGTAGTTGACGTCTGGGATCAAGACAGGAGATGCAGTGTGTGAAGCTTTTCTGCTGGTATTCTTTAAAGATGTTTCTGGATCAACATATAAAGGGCGAACAGCGACGCTTGTGTTATTGGTACAAACACGGAGGGAGATGTGACTGTGCAGCTGTATGGGGTGTGGCTGCATCACATGAGTCCACTCAGTTTAGCCACAGCACATCTCAAAATATTCAGTATCTTTTCACAACACACACATGCACCCGGTCTTACTTTAGTATAGAATCGTGCAACGTAAGGGACGCTCAGGTTGCTGGGCAGCCTGAGTGAAGCTGTAATACAATCAAGTTGATTTGATACCAAACATCAAGCAGATCCTGAAGTCAAAAAACCCTCCAGAGAGTGTGTTACAGCTCTTACACACTCCTCAGCAGTGCACTTGCCCCTCCTCTCCACAATCGCCTCCGCTTACTAAACGTTTAAGTTCAAATGCTGAAACATAAAACTCAACGATTCTATCGCCCTGAGCCTGGACACCCCAGCTCCTCCCTCCACAAACTGCAGGCTGTCCAGATCTCTGAGCCGTAACCTGTCCCACACCAGACACTGCTGCCTCATTGCCCGCATACTCGCTTAGCTCCACTGGCTTCCCGACACTCAGCAGATCAAATTCCAGATCCCTGCCTTCAAGTTCCAATCCCTCCACAGCCTCCCTCCACCCCACCTCAGTGACCTCCTGCAAACCTCCTGACCTAGCCGCTCCCTTCCCTCAGTCAACATTTGCTTGCTTCATGTCTGCTTCCCTATTTGCCCCACCATCGGTGGACAAGCTTTCTGCTATTCTGCTCACACTCTCTGGATAGCTATCCCAGAGTCCCTATGCTTCACCTTATGCCTCCGCCACCTCCCTTCCCATTTTTCAATTCCATTTTAAGACCTATTTCTTTGACTACCCTTTCAGTCACCTATTCCACCCCCGCCTCACCCCCCAGTTAGGGTTCCAACTCAGCTGTTTGAAGCAAGAACGACAACAAGATTACATTTGTATAGCACCTTTCACGTCGGGAGGAGTCCCACGGTGCTGGACAGTATTCAGCATTTCATACCCGAGATGGGGTCAGGGGGGGAGAAGGGAGGGAATGGGGGGTGACCGATGGCATGGTCGAAGAGGAGGGTCTTAAGGCGGGACTTGAAGGAGGCTAAGGAGCGGGCGAGGCAGAGTGATTGGGGGATGGAGTTCCAGAGGTTGCGGGCAGAGTGGCTGAAGGCTCTCCCGCCAATGGTGGGGTAGGTGGGTCGGGGGACGTGGAGCAGGCCGGAGCCGGCTGAGCGGAGGGAGCGGGCGGGTTGGTAGGGGATTAGGAGGTCTCAGAGGTATGGTGGGGAGAGACCATGGAGAGCTTTGGAGGTGAGGACCAAGATTTTGAACTGGATCCTCTGAAGGATAGGGAGCCAATGGAGTCGGGTGAGAATGGGGGAGATGGGGTCACGGAGTTTGGTGCGGGAGAGGACACGGGCTGCAGAGTTCTGGATTATCTGCAGCCTGTGGAGGGAGGAGTTGGGAAGGCCGACAAGCAGGGCATTTGCATAGTTGAGCCTGGAGGTGATGAAGGCGTGAACAAGAGTTTCAGGGGCCTGAGGGGTGAGGTAGTGGGGGCGTCGGGCATTGTTACGGAGGTGAGGGAAGGCAGAGCGGGTCATGGCTTGCATGTGGGGAAGAAAAGACAGTTGAGGGTCGAACAAGACACCTGGGTTCCTGACTGGTTTGGTGAGTTGAAGTGTGCAACCATGGAGGTTGATGCTGCCAGAGCCTGAGGTGCTGAGGCGCTGGTGAGAGTCAATCAGGAGGGCCTCAGTCTTGTTCACATTCAACCGAAGGATGTTTGCCCTCATCCAGGACTTGATGTCCGACAGACAGTCTGTCAGGACAGCAGTGGTCCTGGAGTTAAGGGTGGAGGCAGAAAGATAGAGTTGGGTGTTATCCGCATACATATGGAAGTTGACCCCATGTCTGCGGATGATGTCACCAAGGGGGAGCATGTAGATATTAAAGAGGAGAGGGCCAAGGACAGACCTCTGCACTTTGAGATGTTCTGTCCACGTCAAAGCCGCTATATAAATGTAATTTGTTGCCCATTTCATCCTCTTACAAGAAATTCCAGTAATACTACCATCAGGTTCCATCCTGCAGTTTTCTGCCACATGACTGGGAAAGGCTTCAAGAAGTTATGGCCCACTGCCAGAAATGCAATTCTATTAGATGGCATAAGCAGAGCTTTTCGGGAAATTATTTTTCAGCTGTGAGGCAAGGCTGAACAGGCGAAGATTCGCAGCAGGGGGAAATCCCTCAGAGAAGGTGCTAAACTAAGTCCCATCTGCCCGTTCAGGTAGATGCTAAAGATTCCACGGCACTATTCGTAACAAAAATACAGTTGTGTCTCTCGGTGTCCTGGTAAACCATTACTCCAGGTAAAATTGGTCATGGCTATTTATGGGACATTGTCGTGCACAAATTGGCTTCCACATTTGTCTACAAAATATTCAGTCACTACACAGAAATATGCTGTGAAGGGCTTGGAGACATCCTCTTGATGCGAACCACACAATATCAAATGGACGGATTTATGTACTCACAGGAAGAGCTAAATGATTTCACAGAAATTTTTTACACCGGTGCGACAGATTTACTTACCTCATCATTGTTTATAAGAGGATTTCCTCTTCAGTTGCTCATACCATGCTGGCAATATGAAATGGCTTATAGCTGTGATCAAGAATCTCAACTGGCATTTCCACTTGTGTTTGCGGTAACAGGTACAAGGCAAGATTTGTTTGCACTTTAGAAAGAAGATACACTATAATCATGGGCGTTTCATCAATAGTAGCAAAACTCTAAGTCAGCGAGTGAGAAACCAGGCTGTGTGGTACATTGCTCAGGCAAACCTCTCATTCCTGTTTTACCTTAGTAAGTGGAGTATGCTTGGATGAACGAGGAAACTGCGGATCTAAGGTTCCCAAAGCTTTCCACTCTGTCGTAGACTTACAGAATGAATTGCTATCAACATCTCCATTATTGTAGCATGCGACTGCCAGGGTGGAAGAAGGCAAATCAGATGGATGTTGATCTTTTTTCGTTAAGTAATTCCTATGTTTCTCTCAACTCTATTTCTACCATTTTACTTTGAACCTTGATAACACTTGGTGGGGGAGGAGGAGTCTATGTATTACTTGCTATGTATTACTCTCACATAGTAAGAGAGACGGAGAGGTGGGGGGAGGGAGGGAGAAGAGAAGAGAAAGAGAGAATTGTCCAGTAGTCTACACTTCAGTTCCTGAATGCAAGATATTATGGTGTATTTGCCATCATTGGTGGTATGAGCAACTGAAGAGGAAATCCCCTTATAAACAATGATGAGGTAAGTAAATCTGTCGCACCGGTGTAAAAAATTTCTGTGAAATCATTTAGCTCTTCCTGTGACAGAAAAACCTCGATTGGCAGACAATATTGGGAGAACAATTTGCTTCCCCTCTCTCCTCCCTCCCTTCCCCCAATTTAATTCGCATTTCGCCCACAAAATAGTCAATCCGCTTTACAATATGACAACAACAAACAAATGACACATGTATAGAGCCTTTCACGTCAGGAGGACGTTCCCACGCGCTAAATATATATTCTGTGAAGAGCTTTGCGACGTCCCAACGACGTGATAAGGCGCTATATCAAATGCAAGGATTATTATCATTTTTACACTTACCGGCTGAGGCTGCTCTGCGATACAGCAATTGAAACACAACCAGAATTCACTCATGATTTACAGTCCCCTGTGCAGTCGCCGTCACCAGACCTTTACCCCAGCGTGGGGAAACTCCACTCCTCCTTCAGCCGGACAGATAAGTGAGCGATACTGAGAAAGTGGAGTTCCTCTTGGTGTATCTCCCGGTGGCTGTTCACTGGACTGTCTGGTAGCGAGAGAAGGAGTTGGGGAGTGAGTCTCCGGTGGAAATCTTCGCTCTTCTCCCTCCACACCTCCTGACCCAAGAGGCGACAACCTGCAGGAATTAAACAAAACAGACAACGAGTTAAAAGAAAGAAAAAGAGGAAGAGGAGAGCAGCCACAGCACTGCATGTACGAACCATCTCTGTATAATCAGCCTGTTAGTCTTTCTCTAGAGACATACACACACACATTCACACATAGATATTGCAGGGCAGACTGAAACCTTTCCTGTGCATTCAATAGGGTCTAAAACTGTTTTTGAAACATATAAACAGCACTCACCTAACCCTCGCCTTTGCTTCCTGATTCTGCTGTCAGAGCATCGAATCAGCTAAAGGAAACCAACGAGTGAAAGCAGCTTAAAGGAAATGCCTTAACGTGCTCCTGAATCCTTTCACCATGCTGCTTCAGAAGCTGCCCCCTTTGTTGTTTTTCTTACACACACACACACTTGGGCCGTACTCGAGAGCATTCCAGGTAGGAAGCTTTACATGTGAAGACTAGCACCGCTTGACTACAGGACACGGAAGCTCTGGGGCTGTGTGGAACTGGCAGCAAAGACTGTAAAAAGGGAGGAGACCAATGACTGCACTGCAGTTTGCATACAGAGAGAGACGCACACACACACACAGCCAGGCAGGTAGGCGGGGAATAGGAGACATTGTGCAAATCACTCCAGTGCATGTCATAAAAGATTAATCCAACAGCAATGAAGTGAGCATAAGACCAGAGGCTGCTGGAAGAAAAAATTCCATTCAGATTCTGCAACTGCAAATTTTACTGCTCTAAATTCCCCTTTTAATGAGCGGAGCAGTGGTTATGATTGAAGCCGTAAATCATCTGAAAACCGCTTGCCTGGTTGGGAGTAGGAAGTAAACAAGCTTGTTTTAATGTGTCCCCTACCTGAAGTAATCATTTTACATTCCAGCAACAGCACAAATGTGCTCTAAATTCACAAAGAAAATGAAAAGGTAATCACTGCATTGCAACGTTTCCGCATTCTGCTGAGATAAGGATCTGACGAAGAGCTGATTCTTGATATCATAATAATCCTTGCTTATTTGCATCACGCATTTCTCCTCAGGAGGACATCTCAAAGCACTCCACGGGATTTACCTTAACGGGTAATGACTGTATATTTTGTAGGCAAAACATTGCAGTTGATTTGCACACAGCAGTGTCCTACTGCCATGAAATGAGTGACCAAATTTTATCTTTGGGACTGTTGGCAGGATGCCAGAAGAAGCTCCTTTCTCTTATCAAATTGTACCACGGGATCTGTAAAATCCACCTGAACAGGCAGACAGACAGGACCTAGGTTTAAAGACTCAACCAAGGGATAGAAACTTCAAACTATGCAGCACTCACTCACCCAGCACTGTATTGAAGTGTCCCGATGTTGGCCTTGAACCCACAAACTTCTGATTCGGAGGTAAAATGTCCTACCAACTGAGCTAGGATGAGGTCTATCAAAAGGAAGGACTGGATGTGTGGTTTGAATAGGGAAGCACTCTGTCATAAATCCAGGAATACCGAAAGTTCCATTAGGGCTTACAGGGTTAACAGGAGCTGAGCGGAAGTTAGCAGGAACGTGCTCCTAGAGTCTCCTATTCTAAGTCCTGCCGATGAGCCTGACTGGCTGCGGTGCCAAAAGCAGCGCCCTGGAGACCTGCAGCCCCTCCTAGCTGAGGAACCAAACTACAGAGAACGCCACAGAGGGTGGACTCTATCCCAACGCTCTTTTACCAAGCATATCGACTTGGACCCAGTTCAGCTCCAAGGAAACCTCAATTCCCTTCACTAGTTGGTAATTTGATTAAAGGAAAATGATGATATCTGAAAATGTTGTTACATCCCCAGGGTTGTGAAAGGTGTCCACACCCAATTACAGGCCACCTCCAACAGGACTGATCAGAAGAACTATGTCAACAACAAAACTGTGTCAACAATAACAAATCACATTTGTACAGCGCCTTTCACATCAGGAGGACATCCCAAAGCCCTGGACAGTCAGGGGATTGGACCCGAGCAGGGGGTTGGGAGCAGGAGGGGTGGAGGGCAAAGCTTGGAGGGTGACCGAAGGTGCGGTCGAAGAGGAGGGTCTTGAGGCGCGCCTTGAAGAATGCAAGGGAAGGAGCAAGGCAAAGGGACTGTGGGATGGAGTTCCAGAGGGCAGGGGTATCCAGAAAAGGTTCTAAATATTTACTCCCCCCCCCCCCCTACTCTCCGTACACAAGAAAGTACAGAATGAGTCATTCTGTAATTCACACAGTGTATTCTTGATAAAAAAAAACTGAACACTTGGTAAGAGATTGCTGATCCTCTTTACAAGAGCATGGATCATGATACCACCTCGCTGATAGTACAGTGGCTGACGTCTGCATTGCACTACAGTCTTACATCTTTAAAGGTTGAAATGATTCATTATTAAAACATGGGTGCGGGGTGGGGGAAGGAAAGAGAAGGGAAAAAAAATTCCCTCTCTCTCTTCTTCCCATATTAAAAAAATCAATACAGCAGTTCAGAGCTTTCATTGGCAGGAATGCATGTGAATGAGGTCTGAATCTGCCATGAGTAACCGGATATTAGTCTGCAGTTACTCTGTGGGTAAACGATTTAGAGATTTCTGTATTTCACTCAGTCCAGTGCACATCCACATTTAAATGCTGTTTCAAGTTGAACAATACAGTTGATAATAATAATAATCCTGGCATTTAATATGGTGCCTTATGTCTTCAAGACGTCTTCAAAGAATATACTGTAAAGTGAGTTGACTGTATATTTTGACTGTATATTCAGTTGTCTGAAGTGATTAAAATGAATAGGAACTAGATAAATATCCAAAAAAGGGCTAGGCTTACAGGCATAGAGGCAAAAGGGTAGGTAAATGGGACTAAAAGGATTGCACTTAAAAAGCTAGCATAGACATTTTGGGCCAAATGCCTATCCCCTGTGCTATAAATTTCTATTGTTATTTTCCACTCCGATGCTGCATCAACATCTAATTGTTTATTAAATATATATTTGAAATGTATTTAAAGAGAAATCCCATTGTTAGGTCGTAACAATTGATCACTATTTCATTAATTGGCATGTGATAGGACCTCTGTGTGATAGCTCCACAGTTGATAAAATGCTGCCATCAATTAGATCTTTTGGTCAACCATTAGACCTTTATAGCACTGACCATACAGCACCCCTCCCAGCAAAGCAGTACATACTATATGAGTTACAAGTCCCGATATAACAGTTTGAACGCATGAGCTTCTGACTCAGAGGTGTGAGTGCTACCAGCTGAGCCAGGCCAGTACATGTCCGACAAACAAAATAATTTATAAAGCAGAAGTGGGGGGTTAGGGGGAAAGAGGATGGATACAACTCTATTGAGGTTTACTCAGTGAAGCAGAACGAAGCAACTCATTTCACACTATTATGGTGGACGTGTGGAGTGGGGGGAATCGTATTCATTTTAATATGGTGCATGTATTGCAATGTACAAGTATGTACACTATGGGAAGACAGGGAAGCTGTGTGTGCTGCGATCAGAGACCTCGACATTCTTCTGTAAAGCAAGGTCTGTGTGATGACTCCTGAGTGTCGAGCATTCGATGTCGGAATCTGGTGATTTTACCACAGAACTGACTGTTTAAATATTTTAGTGTTTAAATCCCTCCATTCATTGGCACCCCGGTATCTCTCTAACCTCCTCTCTCCCCACAGCAGTATCCGCTGCCACTGCTCTTCTGGGTCCGGCCTCCTCCGTGTCCCCCGAATCCTTCGCTCCATCATCGGAGGCTGTGCCTTCAGCCACTAAGCCCCGAAACTTTGGAACTCCCTCCCTCAACCGCTTTGCCTCGACCCCTCCTTCCCCATTTCAGGTTGCGCCTGAAGTCCTTCCTTTTCGACCGCGCGTGCGGTCACCTTCCCCCTCCCACTGGCTTGGTCTCGGGCTCAGCCACTGTTAAGCGCTCTGAGACGCCGCCCGACATGGAGGGCGCTATATAAATGCAAGTTGGTGTTGTTGTTTATCCCTTAGAGTGGATCTTCATGTCCATTTTTGGCTAATTCCTGTGAGCGAATTGATGTCTACATTTGCACTCAAATACAGATTGAACTTCACAGTATATCCTGTGAAGTGCTTCGAGACATCCTCACAGTGTGAAAGATGCTATAGTAAATGCAAGGATTATTATCATTTTTATCTGAAATTAAATTACCAATCAACCACGCAAGTTCAGCAGTTTCTGATGCACCGTTGCCACCATTTCAATATTTGACTTTGAAAAGAGGCCGCCATCTCTTTCTGTGCTTCAAGTGAACTCATCTCTGCCAATCACAGGCAGATAGGGATCAATATACAGTACTGTAGTTGAGACAGTGATGGATTACGAAAAGTCTTGGATGTGTTTCGATTGCAGGATACAGCATAACACTACATGTCGACTAGCCGTCTTCTGGTGTATCTGCATCAAGCCCAGATGTAGAGTACGATACCGGCAAAAGCAGTTTTCACTTGTGCCCAAGCTCATGAGATTATTAGCGTCACGCACAGTGAGGAAATAACACATGGTAAAACGATTTGTTAATTTTTTTTAAACAGATACAATGTAGGGTTATAGAGAGGGAGGGAGAGAGAGGGAGAGTGAAAGTAAGTGTGAGAGAGGAGTTTTTGGTTAGCATGGTAGTCAGTTTGTATTTTGGAGTCACAGACATGACCCATTATCCACACTGCTTCCATATTCACAATAGGGCAGATCACAATTAGTGCTTTAGAACAGGCTCTATGCACGGTATTCAGAACCAATAAAAGAACTTACTTAGAAGTATCCGGTGCTGATAGACCATCCGACTTACTCTTTGGGGGTGGGAACCAAAGCAGTGTGTACCACATCCAAACTGTGCAGTTGTTCCAGGTTGCACTGTCAGGTTCTTAACATTTGCTGTGTATGAGGCACCTTTTCATCACCAGATGGGTGCTAGTGACGAGATATGCCCAAACTGCCACGAGCCAGGGGACTGGAGGCAGAGTGAGTGAGTGAGCGAGCGAGCAAG